CTCCTTCCATCTCTCCACTTCCGTATTCGCCGTTGACGCAGATCAACTACATTCGTGTACCTCACAAACAACCGCTAGTAGCCCATGAAATTACTAATATATAAATAATAATAACTAACACTGCTTCCCCTCACTTTATTTTCCGCATCTCAGCAACGTCTCTGTCCGCTGCCCAGTTGGATGCTCTCAACTCATCATTCGCAAACGCTCGAACTTCTTCACCATCATTCCAGTCGAGCTGCTCCTCATCGTCATCAACAGCGACCTGCGTTCCTGCCGGGTCCTGGGAGACTCAACCTCTACACCAACAACAGTACTAATACTACTACTACCCCTTTATAACCGTACATGACCGTATTAAGGCGCTGTAGTAAATTAGTGAACACCATCTACACACAACATAGGTGATTCCCTATAGCATTTACATTCTACTTACACACACTTTACGAACACTGGGTTCTCTCAACAACCAGTCCAGCACGAATTTCAGCGTCGTCTGGAAACCCGCAGCAGTCATTATGTCACTATGCAAAGAAGATATATCTATCACGTATGTCGCAGTAGGAGTGGCAATTGCAAAAACTGCTGGGGGAAAAGGGATGTCGTCCTCCGCCTCGTTTTCCTAAAGCACACTTTCACATGAAAAAAAAAGGGGGGGGGGAATTATCACCTCATAATTTAACCCAACGAGCCAGTCTTGGTGTGAGCTTTCAGGAAGCTGAGCTCGTTTGCGATTGTGTTCCTCTAGCTCTCGCCGCATACGACGATACATAGCAGCTAGATGTGACGGACTGCTCACCTGTCACCACTCGTGAAATACGCGGTGATATGCATATTCGAAAAATAGTATATATAATATGCAGCTATAAAATCTATAGTCCGAAAAATAAATTATCTATAAAATATGCATAGTTCGATAATCGTGAAATATATTTTTCATATCACTAAAACTCCAATGACTCACCAAATAGATTCGCTCCTCCGCGAGCGGCAAAAGCTCGTCGAACTGCAGCTCTTCATTATCGACACCCTCGAGATCATCACTCCTCGATTCATCCCAAACCGTCATCTCCGCCTCATGCAGATCTTCCTCACTATTTTGGAAATCTTCATAGTGCGAACATTCAATCAGTCGAGCTTCGTTACTCTCCCGATGAATACCTGAAAAAATGCATATCGCAATTGGCGAATTTGCTATTACTCTCAGCAGCTTCCCATACAATGCTGGTAACCGTCTCGTACGCCCACTGGTCTACCAACAGACCCGTGTCGGGATCTCTTGACCGTAGATGGCTGAGAACATTACACACATGTGTTGGTGACAATATCAAAATTCCGAAGAAATTTTGGAAATTTCTTGGTGGTTTCTGTTGTACACTTCTACCCAAATTCTATAGTGAAAACTCTGCTGAGCTCAGCAGCTGAGGAAATCAAACATACATTCCTACTCCAACACTGCAGAGTTTCACCCGTTTTACGTGAAGGGCGTCGTAAT